CCAAAATTAAATATTTCTATAGGCAAGGAACTGGAACGAAGAGCCGAAAAAAATTGCATGCATTATACCAATAATGAAGTCAAAAAACGCCATAGGAGAGCAATACAACTGTGCATATAAACTAAGAAGTTAATTCGTCCATTCTATAATAAGTCAAGAAAATTTTGAGCACCCATTTCCTCTGTTTCACCTCTACTAGTCCTCCTTATAAATGCATCTATATTTTCAAAAAAAGCTCCATCGTATCAGCAAATAAATGAAACACCAAATACAATTTTAAATAATAATATATTTATTTGAAATAAAGTTCTTCGACTGGAATGATCAAAAATCATAGCTGAATGTTATAGTCTAAACTAAATACATGTAGGCCTAAATTAAAACCCCAATTTATAAGATGGAACTAATAAGCTAAGTGGCAAATTAACTGATGAAAACCTAAATTTAAACAATTTAAAGATCTATTTCAAATGGTTCTTAATGCTAAAATCGATGGAAAAAAAATCGGAATTGTAGGATGAATTACATAAAAAGAAATAAATTGATGAGTCGATGAAATTTTACAGATTTGCAAAAATTTTAATCATTTGATTAGAAATGAACTCATTTCCGTTTAATGTAACTGATAATGACGAAGAAAGAATCGTTAATAATCTTCTATAAAAACATTTCAAACACAGGCGATATGCTTTAATTTTTTTGAATAAAAAAATAATTGAATGTTTCGATTTTCGAAAAAATAACGAGAAATTGTGAAAGAAATCGCAATAAAATATTATTACATCTGTTTTTGAATTTTTTGTTGCATTTGCGGCGAAAAAACAAAAACATTGAATGAAAATTTTAAGAAAATTAAGCAAAACGATGAAATTTATTAAAAACGGTAAGAGTATGAGATTTTTAGATAATGAAGAGTTTTTCTCTGACGAAATTTAGAAAATGCTACATAAAAAAAGAATTTTCCGTGGATTTCTCGTCACCTGAGTTAGTAAAGAATAATGCCTCCGACTTATCACTTTCAATTTAGTAAAAGAGGAGGGGTACATTGATCTCATTGAGCAACGCGAGAAAGCAATATTCAGAAATATAATAATAACGAAAATAGATTGTGTTGAAACAATTTTTTCCAATTTTTTAGCGATTGCTAAATAAATTTCAAGTATTTGAATGATTGGTTAATCAACAAATAATCGCATTCATTTTCCAGGATCTCTCAAGATTGCACATTTGGATGATCAATGGCAGATGACATTCAGTCGCAGAGAAGCAGACTTGCCGATAGATCCATCCGAATTCCAATTTCAATGACGAACAGCTTACTGATGTCGAGAAATTATGATAGTTAGCATTTTCAGAAACCAATGTATATATATATATATATATATAAATTCTTTTTTTATGCAGCATTTTCCAACCAGAAACCAATATACATGTATAAATATATAAATTGAATGGTTAAGTGACAAATATTTAATGGGGATGATGTGTTTACAAAAAAAAATGAGAAATAAAATGAAAAAAATGAAAATGAAAATAAATGAAATTTTGATCTCAACGAAAAAAAAAGAAAAAATATGTGAAAAAATTTCAAGTTGTTTGGAAATAAAATAAATATTATAATATAGATGAAAGTACTAGAGCACACTGGTTGTTTCTGGTTGGCTTCGCCCACTCGCTTTTTATCAGATCTTGGGGACAAACTTGGGTTGATGGCATGGCACTATGCTCATTTTTAATGGCAAGTTTCCTTCTATTTGCAGGGCAGGGACGATGCTTAAAATTAAACATTTGGCTATCCTTCTCCTTAAACTAATATCAATATGCAATATAGGCAGAAATGATTCAACACTTAAGGTTCAAGTATTGATAAATTTATATAAATATAACAACACAGCTATTATATAATACGAGATACTACAATATAGCTAAAAATTTTGAATTAAAGCCAGTTGATAAGATTTAAGAGATCTTTTTCTTAAATCAAAAGCTAATTGGTAACTATACCACCAATATTTGCTTTTTTTATAAAATTTAGAATGAAGTAGTAAATATTGAAGAACAATTAGACGAAAGGTATGAAAAATTATCGTCACTGTGATTATGAAATCTTTGCTATCCTCGCAGAAATAAACTGAGATTTCTTATTCTGTTTAGCTCCCTCTATTGATGAAAAAGTTCACTTTCTTAATAGCATCATTTTATACCTTATAGAGCAATATATCCCTCTAAGAAAAAAAGCGTTAAGTCGATTCCCATTTTTTTAAAATCTCTTTTAAAAAATATCAAGATGCTTTATAACAAATACAAATTAACCAAATTACCAAGTGACCTTTCTGCATATAAAGAAAGTTTAAGAAGTTTCCGTCGTGCCGTTCATAATTTCTTTTCAAATAAAGAGGAGCAACTTTTAAATATTAATCGAAAATCTTTCTGGACCTACATCAAAAGAAAATTTTTAAATCCACGTAAGCAATTAATTTTGCAATATAACAACATAATGATAATGTGATCACATTTGATATTGATATTGCAAGTATATTTAATCAATATTTTTCCAGTGTATTTGTTGATGAGGATAATACTCATACTTCTTATTTTAACATAACATAAATCGAATTTGTTGCACTTCTCTCGATGAAATTGAAATAACACTACTGGATGTTTATGATGCCTTAAATAGACTTAAGCCGTTCATTTCAGCTGGTCCCGGTAATATTCCACAAATAATTTATAAAAAAATATGCAGTTTCAGTGAATCTTCCACTCTTTTTAATTTATAAAGACATTATGAAACCTGGCCTTAATCCCAAGATTTGGAAGTTGTCTCATAAAAATCCCATTCATAAAAAAGGAAGCATCTATAAACCTTCTAATTATAGACCTATTAGCCTAACATGCGTTGGTAGCAAGGTACTCGAAAGTTTGATTTGCAACAAATTGGTTACTTATCTTGATGCCAATAATTTTATATCTCCTTATCAGCATGGCTTTTGCATAAAAAATCCACTTCTTCACAAATATTGGCAAATCTTTCCGATTGGTCTGCATCAATTGACAGTGGTAAAACAGTATCAGTTGTGTACCTAGATTTGGCTAGAGCTTTTGATACTGTTTTCCATAGCAAATTATTGATCGCTCTTAATATGGCATTACAGGAGCCCTTTATAACTGGGTATCAGATTTCATAAAAGACCGTCACCAAGCCGTACTCGTCGACAACACTCTTTCTGGCACAAAACCTGTTAAATCTGGTGTTCCCCAAGATAGTTGTATTGCGCCATTGTTTTTTTCTATTATATATAAATGATATAACCAATGAGGTACTAAATTCTACTATTTATCCTTATGCTGATGATTGTAAAATTTATTATTCTTATAATAGATCAGATAGCCTATCTCTACTGCAGGAAGACCTTAACAGAATAGCCAGCTGGCTATTCTGACAAGCAAATTATCCTTTCCTTTCAAAAATGTAGTGTTCTTCATATCAATTCTAAAGGTTTCGATTTTCCTAACTTTATTATTAATGGCAATATAATCAGTAGAGTCTCACACATTTGTGATCTTGGTATAATCGTGGATGAAAATCTCTATTTCGATCTTCACTGTAGAACCATAGTAAAGAAATCAAATCGTCAAAAATACTAAATTTTATTTTTCGTTCGTTTAAGAACAAAACTGAAGATTTTCTTATCAAAATGCACAAAGCTTTCGTTCGGCCTCTTCTTGACTACGATACTCTCCTAGATATCGTAAATCAAGTAATATAATTGAAGGACTCCAAAAATATTTTATACGGCGCCTCTCTCCTAATTGCAATTTTAATTATAAAAAAAAAACTTTTACAATATAACCTGGATTCTCTGTCAGTTCGTCGTATTAAACAAAATTTAATTTATATAAGATTTATATAAGATTTTATATGGTTATGTTAAATTAGATTATTCAAAATTTTATAATTTTAGGTTAAATTTAAATCCAACAAGAACTAATGGGCTAAAATTACTAAAACCTATGTGCAAAACAAAACTAAGGAATCATGATTTCTTTATTCGTAATATTAATTTCTGGAATAAATTACCGAACGACATAGCTCGTGTGCCATCCCTAGCTATCTATGCTATCTTTAAAAAAAGAATAGATAATATAATTTATGATATTATTTAAAGAATTCACATCATGCGGGAAGTGTGAAATCGTGATTTTTACCATCGGATTATAGTTATTTAGAATTGTGCTACATTTTATTATTTTGCAATATTTCATCTTCTTTATTTCATCTTTAAATTGTTTATTTTATTTTAATATTATTATTTTTTGTTATTTGTCATTAATTCTTATTATTTGTTATTTTAACTGATGTTATTAATACAAGCATATGGCGATTGCGCCGTGCTTGACTGGTTTTTTTTTCAATAAATAAATATTAATACCAATGATAATTAGTAAAATATGACTCCACTCCATAACTGAAACTGAAACTTGATGCTTATCATTTTAATAAATGATTTGCTATATTTTATCTATATTTTAATTAATCTGTAGAAAATTTTCTCTTATAAATGAATAGTAATGTCAATTTAGCATCGCTAGTACGGTTAAAAATTTCTGTTAGATATTTCCACCTGGTTAGAAAGGCAGATAAGTCGCCAATGACTTATATGATTTCGGGTGAAGGGAAGTTGCTACGAAACATTTTATTTTCAAAGAAATCTAGAGGAAATGCCATCTTTCTACTCAAATTTTACAACTATTCAACTAAATTTCAGTTCAATAAATTTTTTGAAAATATTCATCCAGAATGTTTTATCACAATTCTTTATCGTCTACCATTGTGTTTTTATATTTTTTTTTACAGCATTAAATCCAGAAGTAGAAGTAGAAGTTTTTTTGATGGCAGTGTAATCAGCTCGTCGCAAACTTGGGCAAACTTTCTCATAACTCGCTGGCACCATATATCAGTTGAAATCATGAAGAATTTTAAAAACCAGTTAAATTCCTCATATATACAGTAGAATAGTTTTCAATGTGATAAATATATAAGTATATATATTTATATAAAAGATGAAAATTACCTCAAATCCTCCTTTCAATATCGGTCCTGCACTTGCGATATATAATTTATGAGCATCATCCATAACTAACTGGAAAGGCTTTCTTTTCACCTGAAATTAACGCGATTGCTCAAGCAGAATGGTTCGCAATAGATTCTTGAATATGGACCATAGCTGAAATGATTTTTAGTACTCAATAAATTCAAGATGCAATATTTAATGACCTGACGAGTAGCGAATCTCGTACATCGAAAATACAAAACAACATTATCGTCTTGGATTTCGAGAGCAAATTTAGCCCATTGATTGACAAATTCTGGAACCAAAAATGACGCTAATGCTTTCGATTCCGTTTCCTTATTCGAATCAGTGTACAACAAAGAGATGTTCATTTGATTTCCTCCTCAAATAGATTTCAAATCATTAAATTTTATAAAATTTTTAGCTATTGCGAAGGACGAAAGTTGGAAAAAAAAATAGAAAATTTTGAAAAATTATTGAAAAATTTTGATTTATAATTTTCTTCTTATTATGAATTGAAGATAAAGCTCTATGATATGTATGATATGTATGAAAGAAAATTAATTAAAAAACTGATCTTAGGATTTTATAGGTAAGATTTTGACTTCATCATTTGGACAGCAGGTGCATCTTTCAAGAATCACGACCGTGTTTCATTCTTTATCAGTTGTCTAATTTTACTGCGAAAATTCCAGGAAATATGGCAGAAATTTTCAAAACATTTAGATTTGCAGTTTTCATAAATTTTTGCCATCTAGTCATCTGTTATTTACCAAAATTTTTTCCTTCAGTTAAGAGTATCCACAGTGCACCAAGACCATTCAGTTAACTTTATTATACTGTAGTACTAGGAGCATTCAAAGACTGGAATGATTGGAATGATGCAAAACATAATCTTCTGATTTATTGCTGCCTCAAGGACTTGGTTATAGGTTTTCTTTAAAATTGTGGATAATGTTGAATAAAAAGTCAGTTATACATGTGTGCGTAGGAAATGGAAGTTAAAAAGTTAAGTTGAAAAGTTATGTGCAACATTGAAGAAAAATAGAATTCCTTCGAGTAAATGCTTAGATTATGGCCTCCAACGTGGGAAGATGGCTATATATGACTTAATCTTATGGTGCTACTATAATCTGTGATTTTATTATTTTTATTATTTAAAAATAATTTTAGAATTTTTGACTGGTTATAAACAAATGGCTCATCACTTATCATGGCTGTTATCAGTAAAAATAAAAATAACATTTCAACGCAGTGAAATATATACAATACAATATATATATAATTTCATAGCTGCAAATTTTGAAATAAATGTCAGGCTAACTTCGCTGGTTTTCAGCGATAAAAGAATAGGTGGACGATACCTCCAGGATTTTTTAATAATTAGAAGCTTACTACTATCGGGATTAGACTGAAAACCAGTCTTCTATGTTTAAAAACTTGATTCGCTTAAAATTTTTTATTAATAAATTTTATTAAAAATTTTAAATTTTATTATTACTTATTATTAAATATTATATATTATATATTAGTGTTACTAAAAATTTACTGGCTAAAAAAATTTACTAAAATCGATTTCCAAGTTTCTAATAAAATCTTTTGATAAATATTTCAACTGGCTTTCAGTTCTAGCCTTCATTGTTGCTCTAGGGTACCAATCACAATTTCAGACGATTGTGTACCTATTTTGCGCAAAAAAAGGAACAAAATAAAGTATTGTCAAGATTTTATATAAGTCTATGATAACATCCTAAAAGTCTGACGGATATCTTGGCGACAACTTCCAAAGAATTTCGTTTCCTTACAGTTCCCTCAATCCGTATTAGATAAAAATATTATTATAATATTATATTAAAATATTATTTCAAAAATATTAAATAAATATATTAATATTAATATATATTAAATATATTAATATTAATATTAAATATTCATGAGTCTGAATATTCATAAAACACATATGTGCCAGTTGCATGAGAATTAGCTTTTTTTTATTATCAAGAAATTGAGAAAAATATTTTTTAGACGACTCCTAAATCGTTCAAGATTTTACCTTTATAAATTACCTTTATAAAACTTCAAAATAAATCGAAAAACTCGATTTATTTCAAAAATTACTGAGACTTAAAATAAAATAAAAAGGATTGTGCACCTAGAAAATGAGTGGAATAAGTAATTAGGGGATGAAATAGTTAAGATTATGTTTCTTTGGAGTAAAATATCATAGGTTGAATTCTTTCCTTGGATTTAATGGAAATATTTCAGCTCCCAAGTGACTGACGAAAGGATATCACCCTGTTAATTGGTACAATCAAACGAGAAATTGCGAACATTTTTGGTAGAAAAAAATGATTTTAACCCATTAAAAAACACTAGTGAAGGGGGAAGGGTGTCTAACACTATTTTAAGATCCTACATTTTTCATATACTCAAAAGAAATTCTTGCTTATGCCTGCCTTAGAAATTTAATTTTTACAGGGACAATTACCTGCAGATTCCAGAAGAATTCCGAGATCAACAATTGTATCCAGTGGGTTGACGATAGCAAAAAGATAACCACCTTGGCGATCATTTGGTTGAATCACAGCAGTGAATGCAAAATTGCGGAAAAATTTTTTTGGAAGATACTGTCTATATGGTACAACAATCTCCACCCCTCTCTAAAAATAAAGTTATTAAAATTTAAAATTCACTCAATCCAGCAAAAAATTCAATTTTTTTACGAACCACAAAAGAATAATTTGAATTTTTTCAACAATTTTTGTTGAGTTCTCGAATGTGCTTGAAAATTAGGGGATGAAATAGTTAAGATTATTTTTGTTTGGAGTGAAATATTACAGATTGAATTCTTTCCTTGGATTGGATGGAAATATTTCAACTTCCCAAGTGACTGACGAAAGGATATCACCCCGTTAATTGGTACAATCAAACGAGAAATCGCGAACATTTTTGATAGAAAAAAATGATTTTAAACCATTAAAAAACACTAGTGAAGGGAGAAGGGTGTCTCACACTACAGAAAAAATACTTTTTTATTGCCAATATCTTTAATTCATTATATTTTTAATTTATAGTAAGCCATTATATTCAACTATGTCAAGCATTCGTCTTATTTTACTAGTAATTCTTTTGAAATTCAGCTGACCTTGATTCCAACAGCAGGGAAACCATCAAGTCCTTTTGTTTTATAAAGTTCAGCTCTCTCATTTATTAGACCTTTCAAGGGTACCAACAAGTCAACATCAGATTCAGAGTCTAAAAATAATTTGATGACAAATTATTTTTAAATTATTTTAAAGTATTTACCTTAAAAACTATTTAAAATTATTTAATAAGTAATTGATTAGGAAACTCGAGATCATAAAAGCAGCATCCAAGTTTTGATTTCCTTTTTTCTCACAATTTCGATTAAATATTTTTTTGAAAGTGTATTTCAATAGTGCGATTGAATAACCAGTAGAAGGGTTTTATCTTTTAATTCACTTTTTAATCTTAATTTTTTCTTAAAATCTTATGAAATTTATGAGTACAAGATGAAACTGAATGCAGTAAATGAAGTTCGAACTTTAAGCTGAAGAAAATTTTCTCAAGTTTACAAGTTTACAACTTTCACTCTTATATATATATATATATATATATATGTGCTTTACGGGAGATATATTAAGATTGTGGAAAAATGAAGAAATCCAAGTAATATTCAAAATTTATTAAATATTAAGATCCTTCGAAATATTAAATTATGCAGAATATAAAGCGAATTCGGTAAAAACAATTTTTCAAGAAAATCAAAAATTTCCAATATTTTTATGAAGAGCTATAATATATTTTTTTACGCTTTATGTGATCTTTTTTTTTCTTAATCTCAATGTTTTGCTTGCTTATACTATTTGATTTTGGAAAATCAAGCTGGGCAATAGTCATGCATTTTCGTTATTAATAATAACTTAAAAATATTAACAAAAATAGTGTTTTATAAAAATTCAAAAAAAGTATTATAAAAGACAAGGCGAGGATGCTGCGATGTACAAATGGATAATTTAATTTATTTATTTTAAAATACTGGATGCTAAGAATACGGGAAAAACTATATCATTAGATTCCAATAATTAATGATGCAAATAATGAATAACTAATGGCACGTTTTACTTTTTTGTTACCATTAAAATTTAAAAAGATTTGGATAGAATTTCATTCAGATCAAGAAAATAGTATATTATAAGATTATATTATATTATAAGATTTTTTAAAATAAGTTTTGGCAAATCAAGACTTCTTTAATTTCTCTAATCCTTAGAGAAGCCAAATTATATTGAGCTTTTCGTTAAAAATGGAGCTACCAGAAATTGTTGGAAATATTTTAAAAAATTGTTTAAATGATGATCTACCATTAAACTTTAAGCCGAAAAATGATGAAAAATGAAGCGGACGAATCGCTTCCTCCTAAATACAATAAATACATTTATAGCAATCGCTTCATTATAAGAAAAAAATTTACCCTTACCATTATTTCCTTTATGTGCGCTTTCATTTTACTCTTTTAAATTTATTGGCAAATTTCTTTTCTCCTCCCTTGAGATGTATTCTCATATTTTTCTTACTTATTATTTATATCACGGCCACTGAAAGCACGAAATGTTTGGAGAAAAGCGCTCTGATGAATAAATCTTCCCTTAAACACAATAACACCTAAGTAATGAATGGATAAAACAGCATGAAATTATTAGAATAAATACCAGTCTAATCAAAAATTCATCAAAAATTTTTTCCAGTTACTTCTTTGGGCAAATATCTCTCGATTCACCGACAACCATTAACGCTTAACTCTTATTACGATTGATTTCTCGAAAAAAATTGCAATTTTGAAATTTTTGGATCAGTAAAACATCGTTTTCAGTGCTTAAAAATGTTTAAAAAAAGTGGAAATCCAATCCGGACTAAGGGGATTCCTGGATCGAAGTTGACCTAGAAATAGCCAAAATGGGTGTTTTGTTTAAATTTAGTTTTCGTCTTCTAAGAACTCGCATCATTGTTGGTTAAAATTTGGCTTCGTTTTTGTTTCAAAATAAAACATTTCTCTCGTTGATAATAAGAATTTTGCTTTTTTATTGCGAAAAAATTGAAAGAAGGGATTTTAAAAAATTTTTGTTTCAAAGCATGCAAGTAAAAGACATTTTAATGATGTCTCAACTCCCTTGAGAATATTCATTGATCCCTTTCAATTTTCAAAGAGAACCACTTATACATCGAAATTCTTTCACGAATCTCTTTTTAAAATCTAAGCTTTCCATAATTTTTCAATAAATTGAGCTTATGAAATCTTCAAACAAAACTTTTATAATTTCTTTACAAAGCATATTTCATCGCCTTCTTTTAAGAGGACTCAACAACTCTAATTTGTCTGGACCTACTGGTTTTTATTTGTTTGATATTTCCTGGGAATATATAGACAAATTAGTACAGCTCGAATTTTATTTTTGATAAAGGTTTATGATTATTTACTTTGAGAGTATCGAACGTTGATCTTAGCAGAAACAGTGCATTGCTCAATCTTCCGAATTCCAATTATAATAGATATATCAAATTCAATAAATATATTTGAGTAAAGAGAAAGAAATCTTGAAAAAAAAAATGTTTCAATTATTAAAATGAAAAATATAATGATAAATTATTTTTATAGGAAAAAAGCAGATAAAGAAAATTAGAACTACGAAAAAAATTTAAAGTAAGAGTGAAGATGTTAACAAGTCGAAATATTTAATTTATATACGACGATACTAAAAATTTTCCAATTATTTTTATTATTTTATTTAAAATTTTCTGTGAAGCTATTATTTTGAGGTCCATTAAGATAATAAATTTTATGTTATGTTATGTTATCCTTGAAATCTCCATTTTAATAATTCTTTCTTAAAGAATATAGTTGCAATTACACACATAGTTTCTTAAATGGTATATATATATATCTATAATAATAAATATAGTACGTACAATGCTTTTCTTTTTTTTAGATAGAACAATCGAATAATTAATAGCGAAAATTATCGAGCTGACAGCCATGGATTGCATTTCCCAGAATAGCAGCAAAATCCGTACAATGGGTCTAATTCTGCCAAGTGGCTTCGCGGCAAAAAACTTGCACTAATGGAATAAATTTAACTCACGCTAATTCTTTTTTATTTAAACAATGATGTTACAATGAAAATATAAATTAAGGACTCCAAGCATAAAGAATAAATTTTGTACCATCTGCGATTACTTGCTTTCGAAGTTTGAATGAAAATATTTATATATCTTGTCTTAAAATGTGCTGATATATATTATATATATTATATTTTGTGCTGATATATTATATATTTTGTTATCAAATATTTTGATGTAATTTAGCCAATGGATGAGCCTTATGTTAGAAGAATTGCTTGAAGCATTTCCTCATGAATTAATATATTACAATTCACATAATGAACACTCAACGCATGAATAGATAATGATTTATAAATAGAAGAAAATATTTAAAATCAATCAGTGAAATATGTGAGACTGAAAGAAAATCTGCGAAAGATCAAAAAATAAGACTATATGGTCCAGTCTCTTGTTGCAACATAAGTAGGTTCCAACATCACAAGTCAAGCAAGCTTTCGCACACGAAGATATTAGTTGTCGAGTCCTTACATCAGCCGACATTCCTTAAAAGCTTGGATAAACCCATATCATTGAAAGCGAGTGGTAAATTCACAGTCAGATCCATCAATATTGTGCCCAATCGAGTTAAATGGTGTTTTTCCAAAGAATATTTTGAATATTCAAGAACAAAAAAGATCGTTATAATACCATTTTCAGAACGTGATTAGGTTGAGGAGGAGGAAGACGTAGAATTACATTTTTGCACATTTATGCGCAACAAGGCTTTTTTGTGGATATCTCCCTCTATGCTCTGGAAAAAGCAATAGTAAGAGTGAACGCTAAATTAGGAAAAGAAATATAAGAAAGAATTTTGTCTTTTATTTACTAATAGAAAAAAAGTTCTGTATTGCAGTAAAAATTCCCAATAAAATTCAAAGGATTTGTATCATATTCCAGCTTGGAATATTTTATGTTTTATAATATAAACGTGGAATGCGAAAAAAGCAAAAAAAAAAGGATTTCTCGTTTCTTTTATCAGTACTATTTAACAATAAGGCATAGTTATTGAAATAAATGAATTAATTAAATGATCACTATTTTTGGCTAAATTTCGATTCCACTGACCGTTAATGTGATTAAAAATACAAACAAAAAGTCTCCAAAACCGCTTGGATTCTTTGCCGAGAAATGGAAGGAATTCTCATCTCTCAGTACGATGATTCGAGTTATCACCCATACTTTACTATTAACCAAAAAACATGGTATCTCCATTATTTCGTGGCATCACTTGCACCACTTGTCATTGTTGATTTATCTGGATTCCTCTGGCTACTATAATAAGACCCTCAGAAAATTATCTCGATGAAAGTAAAGTGGATCCTCATAATACCATCTGCAATTTAATCCTAGAGGCAGATTTACTTCCAAGAAATCCCCTGATCAATCATCTCTGTCAAAGCAAAGTTTCACCCCGCTTTATATTTTGTACTTTTTTTCTCTTATATCTTTGTTTTTTTGAATAACTCCCCAAATCTTAAAACTTTATATTGGTGACTTCTGGCTTAAACATTTACGACGTAATTGAGGTTGATTATAAAATTATTAAATAAGCAGTCGAATAATCATAGTTAATCAATTTCTTTCATAAGAAGGAAACTGTATCGACCGACACAAATTAAATTACCTATTGATTTATAATTCCCCAAATAAATAACTGATCAACGTTACGAAACAACGCAATCCTTAACCCTGACTGTCTACCCAGGGATACTTGTCAACCTTTGGCTCATAAATAACAATTAATATTTACTCATCGAACTATTTGATTAACTGCACGAAGGATACAATTTCCTAAATGCCGCATATTCGTCGGAAACTATGAAAAAATATGTAATTTTCTAGCTGCGGAATTAAAATGTAAAATTTAATTCTGTGGAAAAAATTGCAATTTATAGGGAAATATAATTCGTAATATTGAAGGATGTAATTAATTTCTATGTGGCAAAATGGATTATGCATAATGGATAATAGATCATGAAGCTGTAATAAAATAATTTGTTATGGCTATGATTTAAATGGTTCTAACGGACGACGAAAGGAAATTTTAATGGGCTATTTCCCTCATGCACCGATAGTGGGGTTCCACTCGTATGTAAAGATTTTTTTTCGAAAACCGGGTGGTGTTTGCGATCCATTTATATTTTTATCACCAAAAATTTGGTCCTTTAGCAAAAATTTATCTGGTCCGAACCAACTAGGCGAACCTAACCAAAAATGGTAATTATCCCTAGAAAGAAACTGAGGATGAAAAATGATAAAGAAACTTCGGTTCACTTTTAAACCTTGATCTAGAATTGAGCTACTAGTAAACTGACATTCAATCATTTTCGAGTCACGCTAACCATATCCAAGCAATATTTTACTTTCAAAACAATATCAACAGCATGGGAACTTCAAATTATAAAAACTCCAGTTTTTAATTTATTGCATTGCTTCTACATCATATTCTAAACGCTAAATTTCAGAATTGCAGCCAAGTCCATCAAGTGGCATTCTAATTTGCTGACGGCATTGTATGAATGTAATGAAGACAAAACTCTGAGAATTATTTAGTAATAAAAATAGACTACCATCATCTGAACCTCATTTTTACAGGTTAAAGAAAAGATTTATTCCACAATCCACTTTTCTCGTCCTTGGATGGGACAAGCTCTGGCGCTCTTTTTTTACATTTTCTTTTTTTAAAAATGAGTGCCCACCATTTCAAGTTAGGCTTGCTCTATCGGTTTGCTGGGCCATAT